ATACCTTTGCATAGTCAATAAAACACAGATAAACTTCTTTCTGGTATTCTCTGCTTTCACCCAAGATCTTTCTGACATCAGCAGTGATATCCCTAGTTCCATGTGCTCTTCCGAATCTGGCTTGAATTTCTGGCAATATAATAATAATGTAATTTTTAATTATGCCTCAATTTAAAAAAAGGAAAAGAATACAAGAATATACATTGAAAAGTAATATCTTTCCTACTTTTGTCCCCCTGGTCCCATTGATCCAAGGGCATTCTCCTACAAAAGGACAACACAATTATCACAATCACACTCAAGAAATTAAACATTTATGTGGCACTGTCATCCAGTATGCAGTTCACATTCAATTATCCCAAAAATATCTTTTATAGCATTTATATATATATATATCCATTACCTTTTTTTTTTTTTTTAAGCTTCTTAGTGGAAAATATCCTTGCAAAAAGTTAAAATATTGGGTCCTAGTACATATTTTCTGGCGTCTGTTAATTTTCAGTAGGCTATTTCCTTTTTGTCAAAATTCTAGAGGTAATATATGAGGAGGAGTTAATGGTATTTAACCTTTAAAAATACAGAATTAGAATTGCAAATCTTGCTTGCATTTTCTTAAAAGTTTTATTCTCCTGTTTACTTTTACGGAAAGCCAGGCTATGGCTTTAGAAACTTTGGGTAGTTGTTTGAATTGCAAACAAGTGAGTAGTGGTTCTATTTATGCTTGCTTAGTGAGATTTGTGATTGTTCCTAGGTTTCCCCTAGACTCTAGGGCCTAGAGGAGGGAAATTTTGACTTAGTGTGGTGCAGCATTTAGCGTCCCAATTCTTCTTTTTAAATCTTCTTTTCTTTTTCTTTTTTAAATTGTATTTATTTTATTGTTGTTGAGAATATACACAGCAAAGCATACACCAGTTTAACAGTTTCTACATGTATAGTTTAGTGACATTGATTACATTATTTGAGTTGTGTAACTATTCTTACCCTCCTTTTCTGAGTTCTTCCTCCTCGATTAACATAAACTCACTGCCCCCTAAGGCTTAAATCAAATTTTCTTGATTACAAAAATTAGTACGTATTAATTGTAGAAAATACTAGAAATCAAAGATAAAGTGAAGCACAACTCCAACACCTAAAGGTGATGATGGCTAACATTTTAGAGGTTATTTTCTGTGTGAATGTTCACACAATTTTCTTTCTTTAAACAGATAGTGGAATCATACTGTATGAAGTTAACTGCTTAATTCACTTGCCTTTTTGTTACTGATTTATGTGGTCTAGATACAAGCTCTTCATTAGCTATATGAACTGCAAATATCTTCCTGACTCTGTAGGTAGCTTGCCCTTTTGAAGAACCAAACCAAAAAAACCAGACCCCTTGCGGTCAAATCAATTCCAACTCATAGCAACCCTATAGGGCAGAGTAGAGCTGCCCCATGTAGTTTCCAAGGAGCAGCTGGTGGGTTCGAACTGCCAACCTTTTGGTTAGCAGCTGAACACTTAACCACTGTACCACCAGGGCTGCTTTGAAGAGCAGAAAATCTTAATTTTAATGTAGTTCAGTTGCTCAGTGTTTTCTTTTATAAGGATTAATGCTTTTTCATGTTTTGTGTAAGTCTTAGAAATGAAGTGTTGGGTTGAAAGCCATTTAAATTTTTTAGATTTTGCTAACAGCTTACTCGCCCACTGGCAGTGTAGGAACTTTTGATACTATTTTCACTCCTTCCAAAAGCGGGTGCGTGATTTTCCCACGTTCTTGCCAGGACTGGAGTTTTTGGGTCAGTTTTGCCAATGTAATAGATTTCCTCCATTTGTTAATGAGTATTTTATCTTACCTTGCCTGTGAGATTCAGAGATTAAATTTGTTTCATCATTCCAAGAAAATGGGAGTCAATAAACATGATTGCAAGATTAATACTAAAAATATTCTTCAGTGTTTGATTGAGGAGCACTTAAGGCCAGTAGGGAAAAAAGATAAGGATCTAAACACCATTTTTTAATTTAAGTCAGCATGGTTTTAGCTTAAATTAATGAAAATAAACTAATGAAAACTTAATATAGTGGATCAAGGGAGCCTTAAAATTGATGAGTAAGATTTTTGTGGGTTCCTCTTAAAAATTTATGGTACATATTCAAAAAGTAGAATCAAGATTTTACCTGCTTATCTTCACACACTTTTATTTTGGAAGACCCCGCCCCCTCCGGTAACATCTCTGCTCCTCCGTCTTCTAACCTCCAGTAATCATACTACTTCCTTGTTGCGAGGTATAAGGCAGCTCCTTGGAAATGAATAGAGTTTAATTCTTGATTATACAATAGGGCCTTTTGGAAGAAGCTTTTGTTAGGTGATGAAATTTAGGGTGGAGCTTTCCTCCACACACTAGCCTCATTGCCAGTACCTTAGTTTAGATCTTCAGCATTTTTCATTGGACTTCTGTGGTAGTCTAACTCTTCTCCCTGCCTCCGGGCTTCCATGGTTGCCAGAACGAAATTCCTAAAACTCAGATCATTCTCCTGGTTAATATCCTTCAGAGACTAAAACAATAAAAATCCCTTAGCACAGTGTGGTATCATCTGCCCTCTTGCTCTAGCTCTCTAGCCTCCCCACTTATCTGGCTCCCCACACCCTTACTGAAATCTAGTTTCCCTGAGTTTGGAATGTTCTTTCACATTTGCTCATCCCACTATCCTGAATTCCCTCCTGCCTCCCCACTGCCAACCCATCTGCCTAGTAACTAACTACTTTAGAACTCCATTCAAGTAACACCTCCTCTTGGAAGTCTTACCACCTGACAACCTTCTGTACCCCCTGCCCTCTTTCTCCCAACTCAGTGAGTTAGGTGCTCCTTCTTTTGAGCTGCTGCAGCTCTGTATATACTTCTATCACTGTGTTTTCTACTGTAATCGTTTTGATTTTCTCCTCCTATTGATTGAGCTCCTTGACAGAAGGGCCCTGATTCCCCCTCATCACTCCTCCCCGCTCCCACCACAGAACTAGCATTGTGTACCTTGTAGGAAAACCAGAAAAGCAAACCCGTTGCTGTTGAGTTGGTTCCTATAGAACAGAGTAGAACTGCCCTATATGGTTTCCAAGGCTGTAAATCTTTTACGGAAGCAGACTGCTACATCTTTCTCCTGCGGAGTGGCTGGTGGGTTTGAACTGCCAACATTTTGGTTAGCAGTTGAACGCTTAACCACTGTGACACCGGGGCTCCTTGTAGTTATAGGAGGTACTCCATAAATATTTAGTGGATGATTGAATCCAAAATTATCTTTTTTTTTTTTTTTGATAATAATTTTTCTAAATTTTATTTAGTTTGTTGATGAGAATATACACAGGAAAATATACACCAGTTCAGCAGTTTCTACATGTACAATTTAGTGATATTGGTTACATTTTTCAGGTTATATAACCATCCTCACCCTTCTTTTCTGAGTTATTCCTCCCTCATTAACATAAACTCACTACCCCCTAAGATTCCTGTCTAATAGTTGCTGTTGTCAGTTTGAGCCCATACAGAGGCAGACCTCTTTGACTAGTTAAGCTAAACTATTGTTAGGTTTTAAGATAACTTCAGGGGATATTTTTGGTTTAAGTTTTAAAGATTATCTCAGGGCAGTAGTTTCATGGGTTTATCTACCCTCCGTGGCTCCAGAAAGTCTAGATTTTACAAGCATTTGAAATTCTGTTCTACGTTTTCCCCCCTTTTGATCAGGATTCTTTTGTGGAATCTTTAATCAAAATGTTCAGTAATGGTAGCCAGGCACCATCCAGTTCTGGTCTGAGACAAAGGAGGCAGTTGTTCATGGAGGCAATTAGCCACACATTCCATTTCTTCCTCCCATTCCTGACTCTCCTTCTTCCTTTGTTGCTTCAGGTGAATAGAGACCAATTGTTGTGCCTTGGATGGCCACTTGCAAGCTTTTAAGACCCCAGGCACTATGCAGTGAACTAGGAGGTAGAACAGAAGCACTAAACATGTTATTAGACCAGTTAACTGGGATGTCCCATGAAACCATGACCCTAAACCTGCAAGTGAAGGAACCAAATCCCATAAGGTGTTTGGTTATACACAAGCAACCTCAGCAGCTACTTTTTTTTTTCTGGTCGTTGTTATAAATATATCTATCATACAGCTTTTGCCAGTTCAACTTTTTACAGGGATACAACTTATCAACAGCAATTATAATAATCGGCTGTGCATCGCTACCCTTAATCAATGTGGCTTTTCCATCACTGTTAACTCCTTTTTTCCTTCTCCTTCCCACCCTTGTTACCACTAATAAACTTTGGTTTCTGTTCATTTACCGTTTCTTGTCTTTTTGTATGAGTGAGGTCATACAATATTTGTCCTTTTGTGATTGACTTATTTCACTCAGCAAAACGTCTTCCAGCCCTATCCATATTGTAGCATGTATCAAGACTTCATTTCTTCTCCTGGCTGAGTAGTAGTCTATTGTGTGTATTTGTCACATTTTGTTTATCCATTCATCTGCTGATGGACACTTAGGTTGTTTCCACCATTCTGATACTGTGAATAGTGCTGCAGTGAACGTTGGTGTCCAGTCTCTTTCTGCTTTCACGTCTTTTGTGTATACACTTAAGAGTGAAATTACATCTTTCTTAATGATGTATGTATGAAAAGAACTTTTTGAGAAAAAGGTCAGTTAGAAAGGGTATCAATATTCTAAGTCCCTCTTTTCCAAAAGTATACTAAGTTAGAAATGACTAACGTGCTTATAAAGGATCGCTGGTGGCACAATGGTTAAGCAGTCGGCTGCTAACTGAAAGGTTGACGATTTGAACCCACCATCTGCTCCACAGGAAAAAAGACCTGGTGATCTTTTCCCGTAAAGATTACAACCTAGGAAACCTTATGGAGCAGTTCTTGTCTGCTGTGTAGGGTCGCTGTGAGTCAGAATCTACCTGACTGCACACAACAACAGTGTACTTATAGGATTGATGGGGTTTTGCTCACCTGAGTTGTGCCTTGCTGTCACAGAAGGATGCCCTGCAGTGGTCTCGCAGTCCAGCTGCGGTGGAAGGAGAGGAGCCAGAGGACACAGCCGATGTGGAGAGCTGTGGGTCTAATGAAGCTAGCACTGTGAGTGGTGAAAATGATGGTAAGTACCCTTGACAAGATGGGTGAAGAGCCACAAGCATTCCCTAGTACTAACCTTTATTTTCCTCTCTTCCAGTGTCTCTTGATGAAACATCTTCAAATGCATCCTGTTCTACAGAATCTCAGAGTCGGCCTCTTTCCAATCCCAGGGATAGCTACAGAACTTCCTCGCAGGTGGGAAGGAGAGTTGGTAGCTAGGCTGGGAGGATGAATGAGGGCAGACACAAGGCAGGATTCTTCTTCCTTCTGCAGTTAAACTGTGGATGTGTTTGAAGAATGGAGAAAATAAGTTTGGTCTCCACCTCTTGGTGCCATTTAAAAGAGGGCCATAGCAAAGGTGGAAAGTAGACTTGAGAGCAGAATGATTTGTTTTTCTCTCTACTATGACTGGATGACTTTGTTCATTCTTGTAATAAACATGGGGACATCTAAGGGAGAAGTATGGTACAGTGCAAAGTGGTGAGAACATGAGCTTGGAAGTCAGAGAGACCTCAGTTTGAATTATGGCCCTGCCACTTACTAGCTTTGGGACCTTGGGCAAATTACTTATCTGTAAAATGTAAGACATTGCATTCTTTTCAGCTTGGGATGAAGATGTGAAGAAGAGATGTTACATGTAAAGTGCTTGGCACAGTGGCTGGCACATTAGCCTGGGCTGCTGTTAGCATTACCTGCTGGTCTGGTTGAATGCACACTGTTTTCACAAAAGACTAGGAGAGGTATATCAAGAGGGAGTCCTGTTGTGTCCCTGCAGATGACTCAAGGCTCTTTTTAATTCCCTCTTGGAATATAGGCAAACAAGCAAAAGAAAAAGACTGGTGTGATGCTGCCTCGAGTTGTCCTGACTCCTCTGAAGGTAAACGGGGCCCACGTGGAATCTGCATCAGGTATGTGTAAACTCAGGATTGTGCTGCCTTTTCCTCAGGTCCTGTACCTGCCTCCCTCTGTCAGCCATTTCTGACCTAGGTAGTGTGATGCCAGTAGAGCTGTTTAGCTGCAGAGTCGGAGACTCAGCCTCTGGAAGGCAACACGCTGTGGTGGTGAGACCCGACTTAGGTTCTAGTGTTGGGCTCTGCTGTGTGCCTTCCTCTTGCCTCACAGGGTGGTTGTGAGGATCCGATGAAGGAGTGTGCAAGTGCTTTGTAAACAGTGGAGTCCTGTACAAATGTAAGATGGTGGTTTGGCATTCTTAAGATGATATTTTAAAGCCAGACCATGAAGTGATGATTTCACAAGGCTGGGATATAGAAGCATCCAGTATTGCTGGCAGCATCTCAGGGAGAACTGGGAGAAATAAGCTTATCTGAGAGCCATGGGTGTGGCGTGTGATACTTTTGACTAGTGGAATATTGTGTCTTCAGGGTTCTCGGGCCGCCATGCCGATGGTGAGAGTGGCAGCCCGTCCAGCAGCAGCAGCGGCTCTCTGGCCCTGGGCAGCGCTGCTATTCGTGGCCCGGCTGAGGTCGCCCGGGACCCTGCCCCGCTCCTGAGAGGCTTCCGGAAGCCAGCCACAGGTGAGTGGCTTGGCACTCATTTCTCTACCTGTAAAGGGGGTCCCTGCAGGCCTAGTGAGAAGATGATGTCTTCTACTCCATTTCCTTGACCAATTTACTTTTGCTTCTTGGGTGGCCCTCTATTTTATTGTTTGTTTTACCTTGTATTTTGCTTATTTTATGTATAGATATTCTCTGCTAGACTGTGAGAGAACTCCTTGTGGACAGAGGTGGTGCCACATTGGTCCTTGTATGTCTCTAAGGGCCTAATCTGGTGCCTGGCTTGGTACTGCTTAATAAGCGTTTGAGTGAGGGAAAATTGCTTGTGAGCTTCTCAGTGAAGAATTCCAACATCCATTTTCTTTCTTTGGTAGCATCCTGCCACGTTTAGAATTTCCCTTTTTTCAACCTAGTCAGTATGCTGTGTGGAAACATACGTTGAATTTTGGGGATGCAAACAAATTCAGTAGTGCTATAGGGGGCCCCCACCCCACCCCCTAGTAGGACTATTGCAAGGCAGGTATGCTGTTTGCTATTTCAGGATTTATTTCTTACAGGCCACACGCTTTTGTTTGTTTGTTTTTGGTAGATAAGCCACATTAAACCATTAAGACTAGCCTTGGCTTCTGAAAATTAGAATAAACCATTGCCCAAGTGGGAACTAAGTTTGCTGTTGTGCTGCTTTTCCAGCTAATCAGCATTGCTCCATGCAAGGTCTGACAGGTCTCTATTCTTAGTGGTCTCAAGTCAAAGTAACATTTGCTTAGGCTTCTGTGAAAGGTATTGACATTTCGGTTGGCTTTGAACAACCCTTAGTACATTTCTGCATGTAGAACGTACGACTCCAGCCCCTTCACAGAAGGCTTCTGCAGATTTTTCTGTAGTATACTAACTAGATTTGCTTTTAGACAACTTCTGTCGTTTTTCCAATTGGGCTTTGTGGAACCTGTTCTCCAACTTTGAAGGGAAGCTGAGAACCTGCCCCCCGCCTGGTTTTTCGTGGGAAGTGTGTCCTCTTCAGGCTGTGACGCAGCCTGGTAAAGTTTGTCTGAGAGGATGCAAGCCCAGCTGTGTGCTGCGTCTAATGGTAATGTCAGTAACCTAGAAAGAAAGATTATAAAATACAAATGAGGGTGAACTGGAAGATTGAGTAGATGGTGTGCAGATAAGCCTCGGTAATGTGGTGCTGCCACCAGAGTATTCCTCTCAGTTAGCATTTGCTTTTTTTACTTTAAGAAGATGAAAACCTATACCTTGCTTCTTATTGCATCAAAAATCACAGGTCAAATGAAACGCAACAGAGGGGAGGAGATAGATTTTGAGACACCTGGGTCTATTCTTGTCAACACCAATCTCCGTGCTCTGATCAACACTCGGACCTTCCATGCCCTCCCATCTCACTTCCAGCAGCAGCTCCTCTTCCTCCTGCCTGAAGTGGACAGACAGGTGGGATGGGTAGCCTCTTCTTTGTCTCTCTCTGGGCGGGCTTCTCTTTTTTCTAAGTTTCTTTTTAATTGTTTTTGCCTTCTTCTAGGTGGGGGCAGATGGCCTGTTGCGTCTCAGTAGCAGTGCATTGAATAATGAGTTTTTCACCCATGCAGCTCAGAGCTGGCGGGAACGCCTGGCTGACGGTAGGTAGACTGCATTATCTTAAAGGGCTTGAGATGTGCCTGCCATGTGTGCTATTATGTGCCTCCCACTATTTAAAAACCAAGCACTCATTTTTCACCAACCTCTTGTCTCTCAAGGGATATTTAGTATAAGGTAGGTTCTCCTCACAGTACTGATGAATGTGGTGAGTGTTAATGCACCACACAGCTCCATACCTAAAGAAGGTACAGAGTATTTGATTAGTGACTGTTCCTCTCAATGTGGGCTCTCTTTGTTTGTGGACTTCCACAAGATTGTGTATCTTCATCCTGAAAACTATAACCTTCTATTCTTTGTAATAATCATGTCTGCATAGGTAGAAGACAGTGCACTGTGGCAGCGACCTGTTGTGCTCCATCGTGCTCTCTCTTTTTAACGATTGTCACTTGGCGTGATTGTTAGCTTCTCAGTTTTGTAGCGAGGTACCCAACACTACCCCCAGGTTCAGTGATTTGCTAGGAGGATTCACAGGACCCAGCATACAGTTGTACTCACAGCTGTCATTTATTATAGCAAAAGGATACAAAGCAAAATCAGCAAAGGGGAAAAGGCATGTGAGGCAAAGTCTGGAGGTTGTTGTTAGATGCCATCGAGTCAGTTCTGACTCATAATGATCCTGTGTACAACAGAATGAAACACTGCCTGGTTCTGTGCCATCCTCCCAGTCATTGCTGTATGTGAGCTCATTGTTGCAGCCACTGTGTCAGTCCATCTCATTGAGGGTCTTCCTCTTTTTTCGGTGACCCTCTACTTTACCAAGCATGATGTCCTTCTCCAGGGATTAGTCCTTCCTGATTACATGTCCAAAATACGTGAGACTAAGTCTCGCCATCCTCACTTCTAAGGAGACCTGCACAAATTTCCAGTGGAGTCACATAGAGCACACTTAAGTCCCCTAGTTATGAGCTGTGACAACACATGTGAAATGTTACCTAGCAGGGAACCTTGTTTAGGGTCTTTATTGGGGGCAGATCATGTACGTAACCTGCCTGGCATGTACCCAAATTCCAGACTCTCAAAAGGGAAGCATGTATTCAACACAAACTATATTGTTTGCATAAACACCTCAGGCACTGTGAACCACTCTTGTCAGTTATGGGTGGAAGGGAGCCCTCCCAAAATCCAAGTTCCCAGATGCCAGCCAAGGACCAACCTTGTAAGCAGGCCTTCTTTCTAAAGATAAGCAGTTAGGCCTGCTGTGTTAACTCTTTCCTGCATAGGGAGTGAGAAGATTTAAAAAAAAAAAAAAAAAAAAAAACATGTTACTTGTTGTTGAATGACCGACTGATTATTCTAGGGAAGAGTAACTCTTTTTTTATAGGAGACATGTTAGCTCTGTCCCGAGTTTGAGTGTGCTGTGAGAGGGCCTTTGGAGACAGGGGCAAGCGTGAAAAAGATGGTAAGAGTTCAGAAAATTAACTCCAAAGTCACATGTACTTTGAAAAGTCCAGATGTGGTAGAACCAGAAGATTTGGCTGTCTATAAGGTGAATGTTAATATCCTGAATGCAGTCACTAGAAAATGTTTATTTCTCTCTAGGTGAATTCACTCATGAGATGCAAGTCAGGATACGACAGGAAATGGAGAAGGAGAAGAAGGTGGAGCAATGGAAAGAAAAGTTCTTTGAAGACTACTATGGGCAGAAGTAAGGCACTTGGTGCTGAGTCTTGGTCTGGGCTTTTGGGGGCGTTGAGGCAGGTGGTCTTAAAGTAGTGCATAGTTATGTGTTGGACAGTAATGTGGAGATATCAGTAACTCGGGTCATTTTGGTTAATGCTGTTCATAGTGATGCTAATGTACATTTTTCTGTGGTAAGTGTTATGCATCATGCAGTTTTATTTTGTATTTATTGTGTTCTGAGAGACCTATCTGAGTGCATAGTATTCATAGAAATAAGATACCGTATTTTACATAAATAACACGAGCCTTCAACGTTTGTTTGCCAACCGCTCCCTCCACCCACAAGATATTTTCAGAAGTGCTGCTATGCCAATTTTTTTTTTTTTTTTACATGTTGCTGTTTTGAGGAAAAAAAAAAAAAAAGCATGGCATGCTTCGAAAATACCTCATGGAAGGAGGGAGTGGTCGGCAAACAAAAGTAGAAGGTGTGCGTTATTTGCGTAAAAAGCAGTGGACATGCCTTCTCTGGCCTGTAACTGATGGTGTGGGTTTGGTTTCAGATTGGGTCTGACCAAAGAAGAGTCATTGCAGCAGAACTTGGGCCAGGAGGAGGCTGAAATCAAGAGTGGTTTACATGTCCCAGGAGAATCAGCAAGGCCACAGCGTGGTCTGACCACCAGACAGCGTGATGGGCATTTCAAGAAACGCTCTCGGCCGGATCTCCGAACCAGAGCCAGAAGGAACCTATACAAAAAACAGGAGCCAGAACCAGCAGGGGTTGCTAAGGATGTGAAATCTGTGGCACCAGACGCCCCCCTCTACAAGGATGGAGAGGCTAAGGCTGACTCGGCGGGGGTGAGCAGTCCCCACCTGCCAGGCATGTCCTCTCCAGCACCCAGCCCAGAGGGTCCCGAATTCCCAGCTGAACCTGCAGCTTCCCGGATCCAGACCGAGCTGGACGACTTGGCGTGTGCCTCTGCAGCTCCAGACAGAATTCCCAGCTTGCCTCAGGAGACTGTGGATCAGGAGCCCAAGGACCAGAAGAGGAAATCCTTTGAGCAGGCGGCCTCTGCGTCCTTTCCCGAAAAGAAGCCCCGGCTTGAAGATCGTCAGTCCTTTCGTAACACAATTGAAAGTGTTCACACCGAAAAGCCACAGCCCACTAAAGAGGAGCCCAGAGTCCCGCCCATCCGGGTAGGCAGCTGCTTGTTTCCAGGCTGCCCTAGAGCTAGGTTCTCTTCGAGGGTCATAGGGTTCCTCGAGCCCGTTTGCACGCCCTTCTGTTAATTATATGGGAACAGATAGCTTTCTGCAAGAGAGAGCTTTCCTTGAAGTTCTCTCTAGAGATCAAATCCTTTGGGATTTTTAATCTTTTATCAGGTAGTGTTAGATTCTTCGCTGTAGTGACTCACACAGTTCCACTAGAACTTAGAACTTAAATTTAGAAGTGTTGCATGTAACAGCGCCTGAGCAGAATCTTCTCAGAAGGGTGTGGTGTCACGGACAGCCGTTTAACCATGATTATTTCATTTTTTAGGAAAAGTAATTTGACTCCCTAGGCCTTGATCCCTAAGCTACTTAAATCCCAATTTTACTTTACAGTTCTTAATCCTCGATCAGATCACCCAGTCACTTAAAACTGTTTCCCAATTCTTTTCTTGCAGATTCAACTTTCACGTATCAAACCACCCTGGGTGGTTAAAGGTCAGCCCACTTACCAGATATGCCCCCGGATCGTCCCCAATACGGAACCTTCCAGCCGGGGCCGGGCTGGCGCCAGGACCCTCGCAGACATTAAAGCCCGTGCTCTGCAGGCCCGAGCCCAGCGAGAGGCGGCCACCACTGCCATCGGAGGGGGGGGTGGCCCGGGTGGAGGTGGCAGCGGGGCCACCGATGAAGGAGGTGGCAGAGGCAGCGGCAGTGGTGATGGTGGTGAGGCCTGTGGCCACCCTGAGCCCGGGGGAGCCCCGAGCACCCCTGGAGAGTGTGCGTCAGATCTACAGCGAACACAACTACTGCCGCCTTGTCCTCTAAATGGAGAGCATGCCCAGGCTGGGACTGCCACATCCGAAGCCAGGATAGAGGACCTGGCTTCTCTCAGAAGGGAGGAAAGCTGCCCCCGACAGCGGGTTCCAGATGTCCTCACAAGTGAGCTGGAAATTGCCTCCCAGCTCCCCATTGCTGCCACTGGGGTCCAGTCGTGCCAGGCCTTGCCCCCGCTGTCCTCCAAAACCCTAGTATCTGAGAGATTGGTTGAGCAGCCAACGTTGCATCTAGATGTTAGAACTGAATGTGGGTCTGATACCACTTCCTGGGAAAGGGATACTGAAGAGCGAGGATCCACTGTTCCCTCAGAGAATGGTCCTGTTCAGTCTCTAGTAGGAGATACTGTATTGCAAGAAGGCAATGACCAGGTTCTAGATGGTAATCCCACTATGAAGGATCCTGTAAATGTGACCCCCAGTTCCACTCCTCGATCACCACTGGCTGATTGCCTGCAGGACAGACCATTTGATGACGAATTAGGACTTGGTAAGTCATACCCACCCATGAGGGAAAGTGATACTAGACAGGAAGACTTGAAAACTGAGGCACTCGTTTCTGACAGCATAGCTCCTTGGATGCCCAACATGTTGAATGACAAGGGAGCGAAACAGACTGGCCCTGACTCTGGAGAAAATGTGCCATCTTCTGAGCCCCAGGTTGGAGAAGAGTGGGAGACAGCTGCTCCCCACATACCTGCCCTGCTTGGGAGTTTGACAGCCGAGGAGGGTCTAGATCCTCCTGACAACCTTCCTGTACTCTGGGCAGTGCCATCTCGAGGCATGGGCAGCAGTGGCAGCATCTGCAAACAGGTCCCAGTTGAAAAGCTTAAAATCAATGGTGACTCTGAGGTGCTGAGTCCTCACAGTGAATCCACAGATACAGCCTCTGACTTTGAAGGCAGCCTCACTGAGGACAGCAGTGAGGCAGACCTTGGGGAAGCCACAGTGAACAAGGCACTCTCAGTTGTGGACAAGGATGAGAAACATGGTTGGAACCAATCCAGCTCACTCTCCAAAATGAATGGTGATCTGGGTCTGGTTACAAGGACAGATGGGATGGCTGCTCCTCAGAGCTGGGTGTCTCGTGTATGTGCCGGCCCCCAAAAGATCCCGAACTCCCTGCTGCTGGCCAGTACCGAGTACCAGCCGAGGCCCGTGTGCCTGGATGGGCCAGGGTCATCAATGGAGGCCACTGACCCGTTCGTGATGCAGTTGCTGCAAGGTAATTTGCCCTTGGAGAAGGTTCTTCCTCCAGCCCACGGTGGCAGCAAACCAGAGTCTCTTCAACTACTGCTTAAAAAAGAGCTGAGCCCTGGTGGCTCCTTGGGGATGGGATCTTTGCCTGATCCTGGGGCAGACAGTCTCATAGTTGGCAAAAGCAGCCCCAGTTCTTTGAGAGCTTTGAAGGAGCCTCTTCTGCACGAGATCCGTGAAGCAAGCACTGGTCTTACCGGGTTAGAGGCTACCCAGGCTCCTGGAGCACCCCAAAAGATTTCCAAGACAGTCACAAGTTTAGACTTCCTACATCCAGTGACAAGTCCAGTGGCTTCCTCTGGGAAACTGGAAGAAGTGGATTCCAAAGAGGCATTCTCTTCCTTTAGTTTTGAAGATCAGAAGGAAACTCGGGACCTGTCCCAGTGCAGTAACTCCAGTGCTGCTCCAGGCAGAAGTCCAGGGACACTCACTACCTCGAGAGCCCCAAGCTTCTCATCTCCAAATGCCATCTCCTTTGGTTCAGACCAAGCAAGTCAGTCCCTGCGGGATCAGAACAGTGTGGGAGGCCAAGGGAAGAAGCTCTTTGGCTCTAGGAACATGGCTTCAACCCCTCAGTGCCCCAGGCCTGTGGACCCAGCACCGTTACCCGCTGATGCGCCTTCTGTTGCTCCCAATAGGAAGTTGGGGCCAAGCAAAAGCTCTGTGTCTGGTGGGGTGCAGACTGCAAGGGAAGACTGGGCTCCAAAGCCACCTCCTGCCTCTGCTGGCAGCATCAAGACTGAGAAGACTTTTGCAGGGGGCCCACTCAAGATGAACGCAGAGAACAGAAAAGCTGTTGGGCGTAGTCCTCTGGAACTCATGGATCATTTGCAAGGGATGCCCTTTGTCATGGACCTGCCCTTCTGGAAGTTACCCCGAGAGCCTGCGAAAGGGCTCAGTCAGCCTCTGGAGCCTTCTTCCATCCCCTCCCAACTCAACATCAAGCAGGCATTTTATGGGAAGCTTTCTAAACTCCAGCTAAGTTCCACCAGCTTTAATTATTCCACTAGCTCTTCTGCCTTTCCCAAAGGCCTTGCTGGAAGTGTGGTGCAGCTGAGCCACAAAGCAAACTTTGGTGCGAGCCACAGCGCATCACTCTCCTTGCAGATGTTCACCGACAGCAGCACAGTGGAAAGCATCTCGCTCCAGTGTGCATGCAGCCTGAAAGCCATGATCATGTGCCAAGGCTGTGGTGCGTTCTGTCATGATGACTGTATTGGACCCTCAAAGCTCTGTGTATTGTGCCTTGTGGTGAGATAATAAATTATGGCCATGGGAGAAATTGTATATTTAGTGTGTGTATTTTGATAATGATTGATCTTAAATCTGTATACAGAATATCATTGATATAATGATCTCTGTCTCTCTAGGCAAGAGTACCCTTGCCTCCCCCTAAAATTTACAGTGCTAAAGCCCCTCACTTATCAACCCTTTGGGGTGACCCATTGGGCTGCCCAAGACTGGCCAATCCAAGCTCTTACACAGACATCTGAGCCTGGTGTGGCACGGGCAGCTGGCCTGACACCCAGAGGGACTTGAAACAGAAGCAAGAGGTTGTGTCCTCCCCCAAGAGACCTAACCTGCCTGAACTGAGTAGAAATGTCAGTCTTCCACTGCCCGCTTCTTATCGTCTTCGGGCACTTCGTTTGGGAAAGTGGCCAGCACAGGGTTAAAGTAACTCCCAGCATTGCCCACCAGGGGGCTGGAGCAGCTGCTGACTTCAGGGTCACAGTTCAGTCATTTGGCCGTTGTTGGAGTCGGTTTGAGCTTTGGTTCTGCGGCTGAAGCAAATTTGGAGTCTCAGTACGATCTTCTGGCCCGCAGGATCTTTTGGAACCTTGAATAGACCTGCCTGGACAGTGGGGCCAGGGAATGGTGGTGTCCTTCCTCTGACAGTATCATCTGTAGACCTTGAAGTCAGTTGTCCAGAAGTTTGGCAGGGGAATTCCTTCACTTGACACCCTCACCCTCCCTGTCGCCTTGGACTCGATGGGAGTGGGCATCTCCACACACCTGTGTACGTGAAAGTCATTTTACATTTCAAAGCAGTGTGTGTTTCTTATTTTTATATTTTTAACTCTATTCTTGGATGTATAAAGTGAACTTTCTGGCTTCTGTAAGTATGCTCTATGCACCTCTAATGTTTTATCATGTATTTATATGTTGTACACAGTACTGGCCGATTCTGTAAATGGATGTATTGTACAGAGAACATGAACGTCTCTTCCTTATTTTACGTCTTCAGCATCCTTGCATTAAAGTGGTGTCATTTACTTCTCTACACCTGTTGTCAGAGCCACTGAGTGCTGTGCTGCCCATTGGGAGGGTAGAGTGATTGACTTGTGACCTGCCAGGATGGCCTCGCTCCCCAGCCCAGGTCACTGGGTAGACCCATCATAGCCTGCAGAGCCAAGGTCACCTGCCCACGTTCTACTGAGCAAGTGTATTTTGCTTCTCACATCTTTTTTCTCCTCCCCCAACCATTAATCAGTGCTCGCCGCCGTATGTGACAAATCACTGCCACCACCAGTGTTAAGTGCTTCTGGATTCTTGGGTGAGTTCCCTGGGCAGCCCCCAGGCAGGCCTTCCAGACCAGCTCCAGGGTTGCCACCTGTCAGCAATACCCGGGACCATGCTCTCCAGGGGCCACAGGGCTCCTTTTGATTTACTCCTTACAGCGGGTTTGGGAAGAAACAGCAATGCCTGCTGCCTCTCTCCTCCCTCCCCTTCTTTCCCAACTCGCTTGTAGCAAGTAGATGCCCCAGCACTTGTCTTCCCTCACCCTGCTTCCTGCCTTACTACTTGTATCTTGACTTGCGGAGTTGACAGTTCTCCTTGTTTAATTTTGGTTTACCTGTGTGAGTGTTTCTGTATGAAGTATAAAATTTATATGACTCCAGCAAGCCTCACTTCATCTGAAAGGTCATCTTTTTTCTTTCATTTACTCCACTGTGGCATTTCTGTTGTCTGAAGCATGAGTGCAGAGTTGGCAATGAAGTGGTGATTTAAAATACAGTATTGGCCAATTCCAAGTTGTCAACTTCAAAAGTCTGTTTACCAAAGACAGGGAGCAGAGGCCTAAGGCTGTTTGAACCTCTTCTTCCTTCTATGACCTTTGGGGCCACTAGGGTACAGTTTTAAAGTGGCCTTGTCCATGGGGCTGCCCAGAGAAAGCACTGCTCTTGTATGTCTCTTGTGGTATTGGAAAAATAAACCTGTACAACCTGCATTTTTGGTCTCAGTCATCTTCTGTAGCCACCCTGGTGGTGGTGGGGGTCAGGTTGGAGTCGGAAACTGGATTGGAAGGAGTAAACGATGGCTCACTTCACTGACTCGAGCTAATTTTCTCGTCTGTGTGACTCTTCTTTTGTGAGGTTAGTCCAAAAGGAATGACTCCTCAGCTTCACCGGTCTTTAGGCTCTGCTCGTGACTTGTTGAACTTTTCCACTGTGTGTACGGAGAGCAGGAATCCTTTAATGAAATCAGGGAGAGTTCTTTCCTCTTGTAAATCAAAGCTGGCAGCTCGCCACAGCTGCTCAGCCAAACTGCCTAATGGAGATGAGGTTGCTGAATGGATTCCTAATGGCTGATTATCTTCTGTGGGGAGGGTGACCATTTCCGACTTTGAGAAGCTGTAAGCACAAGCTCACACCTCACACCTCTTTCCGTAGCATCAGGCACCAGTGAAGGAGGTGCTGGCAGAAGATGGGGCAGGTGTTAGCTGAATAAGCCTTAGACCAAGATACAGAGTGCAGTAGTAGCCAAAAGGGAAAAACATAAATATATATAAAGATTTTAATTAATACTTTTTTTCCTTGAAGCTTTATTTGTGGCATAATACCCTTTGGGGTGGCTTATGCTGAGATTTTGTAGTGTCTCTGTTCGAGAATTTATAGTTAGGTGGCTCTGTGGTGACTGGATAACTGCCTGGTGGTGTTGATGCATCCTTGTTGCCTTCATGTGACAGAAAACCCACTTGCCCACTTCTGTCTCCAGGAGCTTAGGATACTTTGTAATCCAGGATCAGGACTTTATGTTTTGACAATAGAATTTTGCTTCAAACTGATGTTTGGCTTAATTGCATCTCATCAGAGAGCAGAATAATGTAGGGGCTTAGAGTGTAGGTTCTTCCACATACTAGCTCTGTGATCTTGACCTCTCTGCCAATTTTCCCATCCGTGAATGGGGAGGAGCCCTAGTGGCACAGTGGTTAAACATTCGGCTGCTAACCAAAAGGTCGGCAGTTGGAATCTACCAGCTGCTTCTTGAAAACTGTATGGGGCAGTTCTACTCTGTCCTGTAGGGTTGCTATGAGGGGGAGTTGACTTGATGACAATGGGTTTGGTTTGGGGTTTTTTTTTGGTGAATGGGAATAATAGTTCCTACTTCATAAGGTGGTTAGTGCCTGGCACAGAGGGTGTACTTAAAGACTGCTAGCTTGGACCAGGCCAACACAGTAATAGCTACATGAAATCACGGTAGAAATCTGTGCAGCTTACTGTTGCCTGTTTCCTCCTGTCCCCAGAGGGGAGCTGTCAAGATGTGGCTGGTGTGACTGGACGGAGGGGGTGCTACGGGGTCTACATTGAGGTCTGAAGTTTGGCTTTACAGTTGTTCAGTCCTCAATTTAGAGAATGATCACTTGGTAGGAAAGACTTATTTTATTCATGGTCTGAAGGATGGGAACATGATGCTTCAAAATATGGAAAGATTATTCTCTTAACTGGCCTGATGAGGTATCAATTTGTTTTATATCCAACCTGCTTTTGAGGAAGTAAGTCCCTGAGAGAGGAGTGTGCATGTGTATACGCACGCATGCACGTGTGCACTGAATCAGCCTATGCACGTTCATCAGGGACCTCGGCAGACCAAAGCATCTCCTGGCCCTGGCTGCCATTTGAAGTGATAGAGAGGGTAGGATTTGTGGCCTTAGAGATTACTACTTGAAAATCAAAAATTGACAGTGCCCTATGCCTCCTCTTGTCTCTGTGCATCAAGTTGACAGCCTGGAATGAACATCTGTAACAGTACCAAAAAATGTAGATGAAAGCTCTGGAAGAAAAGCCAAGTAACAAAAAGATAATCATCAATGCTGCTTCACATAGCATCAGTGGCTCTTAACCTTCCTGGGATCATGGACTCCTTTGAGAATCTGGCGGAAGCTGTGGACCCTCTCCCCTAAGAATGCAGACAATTGTGCATATGTTTTTGAGGGTTCCTGGGCCCTGTAGGCAGCTGGGGCCCTTCATTTTAGAACCCCTGACTTAAACCCAGTATAGAAAACCTGGATTTATAGAAAAGATCCATCAAGATGGGGAGAGATGACTTTGTGAAGGAATCTTAGGTGTCCTGTAACTGCTCAACTTCTCTAGTGCATTTTAAATTACTTTAAAAGATGGAGCCTGTGTACGTTCTTTCCTTCCCCTCATTGAGTAAAGTGAGTTTTGCCTGTTTTGTCGTAGCAAACTTCAGCTGACTGTTCTAAGGTACCATTCCCATTTGATACTGTCCTGTGTACACTGTTGACAGCAGTGTTTTGGTTAAAGAAGCCAGACTGGGACACACCAGAGTTTTTCTGTACTCTGTGATTTCTCTGCTCCAGATCTCGGCTTGTGGAGCTGCAGCATTTTCTCTGGAGGTAAGTGCTGGCCAGCATGGTCTGCATGAGGTGGGTATGTGTCCCCCGTATGTTGGTCCAGGTTGTGGGGTTTTAATGGTCCCTTAAACAGTGGTAGTTTAGGTTGGACAAGGAATTTCCATGGCTATTACTGAGAATTTGCTTCCCTCTGATCCCTATATGCACATGATAGGCTGAGGTGTTGTGGTGCCATCTTTTGTTTTACCCTTCCCTGCTAATGTCTTTACTAATCTTAGTCCCAAGTTCACTACCTCAGTGCGGTGGCCTTCACTCTGTTGGCCCTCTCCTTTATCGTACATATTAGGCTACTGCACAAAATTTTAATAAAAAAGATTATTCTGCCATTACAAAAAAGGTTTTAAAAACTACTATATTACACACATACTGTATGGCAGTTTTTAAAACTATTGTTGTGTGTGTATATATATATATATGTGTGTGTGTGTATATATATATATATGTATTTATAAGGCAGGTACTTATCCCTGCTTACAGATGAGGAACCAGAGGCTCACAGGGTATATGCCTGGCCTTAAAATTCACAGTGACCAAGCAAGGCCTTAAACCCAGCTCTGTTTGACTACAAATCTTGTACCCTTTCCATGGCCCGTCTCCTTAGGATACATGAGTACACACACAATTGCAATGGTAAAATTTATACTTAACGTTAATTTTTAACTCACAAGCAGAACTATTTTGTTTTTAGCTGCGACAGTCAGGCTTGTTCCTAGCCATATTCCTGGTATTTTTCTTAAAGCTTAACCTAAATGATATATGTAGGATGAAAAATACCTACACAAATTAACGTCCTTGGAAAGGAAAAAGTGGCCCTTTGGTTTCCTTCAAGGTGGGCTCCAGGGTTTTGCATAGAATGGAATGTCAAGTACTGAAGGTTCAGAGCAGGGAGTAGGCTTCCCCAGTTTTCCAAACTGGCATCTAGTGCTTGTTGCATGAATTTTGTTCCAGTCAGCTGAATTGAAGAGTCTGCACTAGGGGAGAGGGCAGTGGAAAGGAAACACGGTTTTGTAGTCATACAGAGCTGGGTTTAAGGCCTTGTGCAGTCACTGTATTTAGGCCAGGCACATGCCGGCCAGGCTCTGGTTCCTCGCCTGTGAAGAGGGTTTTGAAGTGTAACGAAGGTCAAAGAGGAACGCTCTCCCTAGTGCTTGGCACCACCTAAGCATCCAGTCCAGGTTCATTTCCTTCCCTTCCTAAGGAGCTAGGTGCTGAAACCAATCACAAATGTATTTGTTAAAGAAAAATTTATCAAGGACTTCCTGTGTGCTCAGATTACTGGCTAGGAAAAGGTAGAGTCTACCGGTAGAAAAGAAATTTCAGTGTAAATCTAGATTGAAAGGAAGAGAAGTGTACTAATTGGAAGTTCTGTTGATAGGACACAGTGAAATTAAGACATTTGGTTTGTTATTCAGTGTTTATTAAGTAGATTCAGTCTTATATATGATATACAGATTCAAAAGAAAAAGGATTCCACATACTTAAGAAATCAGTGCATTTAGCAAGTAATACCATGGAGATAACAGCTCGATTAACAGCTCATTGGTCTTTGTTAAGTGATGGGGAGAGGGAGTTGGCCTGTGCTAGTCATTCCACAAACAAAACAGAATTTAGTTGCATCACATAGAGAAGACACATTCTAAGAATTAAAATATTAAGCCACGTTTACTGGAAAAACTCACTATATAGAACACAAATAATTTTTATAGAGAGCATTGAGGAGGAAGTCCTCACCTGCTTAGAAGAGCCACATTAAGTTGCATAGGTGCATATCTGTAAAAATATAATTTAGAGGTGAAGCCATTGATTAAGTAATAAAGGGTCACCTTTAAAAGTTGGTGCCATCCACGGTTTGCTTTAAGTGCCATATGCTTACTGTGTTGAGCCCCCACCCCTCCCCAGAAGAGATGCCTGATGACCAAGCTGACTCCAGGGATCCCTGAAGAAATGCTTGTACCACCTGCACTGGAAGGTCTTCTCTCAGGTATGGAACTAGTGCTTTTCCAAAAATGTCTGAATCATACCAGAGGACTGAAGATCTCTTGGGTTGTCCCTAAGTCCCAGGTGGCTTGACCTGGAAGGCCTTGTGAGTCATCTTGACCTTCCCAGGCTGCCTGGAGAACTATGTTCATCCCCCAGTTCTGCAGCTAAGTCCTACCTGCACTTTTCATCTATCCATGTGATTACTCACCAAAGACCAATGGGAGGTCTCTTCTGACCACTGCTCCTAAATGGACCACATGATAGAGGCATAAGGGCCATCTGACATGTGGAAAGGATTTTCTGAGCTTAGAAAAGTGTTCTTCAGCTTATCTGAGTTCTGTATGCTGTAGGTTTTTTGTTTTAGGTGGAAACGTAGGTAAAAAGTGAGAGGTTTTTGTTTGTGGCTTTGCTAAGCAGATGAGCTTGGTGAGGTGCGTCTTCCTCCTCTAGAGCAAGTCTTGCAGAACACACAGGGACGGGGCATCTGTACATGTAAACAGTACACTTTCACTGAGTCCAAAATTAGGAGCAAAAATACAAAGGTTCACATTGGTCTTAGGTAGATACAGGCGAAAAAGGATTGAGCTGTTTAGCTCAGAAACAACAAAAACAAAGTTTCTAAAGCACCACTAAATTATATAAAAATCAGACCATGGACAGATTGAAACTGGTATTCTGGTGAAATACTTTACTATTTTGTAAAAAGTTTTACAAAAAATTACAAATTAAAAGTATCAACCCTCTGAGTTCAAAGCAGCATTTTGAAAATGAACTGGTAGTTAATCCTATAACCACCCCTGGAGTCGTAAGTGGCCCTTGGGAATAGGGATGGGCGGGTTCTACCTGTCTGAAGTCCTCTACAACCCTCCCACCCCTGCCTGTCCCCCAACACTGTCCGTTTGTATGAGTGGCGATGGTAAAATGAATTTCAGATGGGTTATACACGCTATTACTGGTTTACTAGATGAACCACCACTAAGACCAAATTCTCACTTCTCTTAATTTTACCCTTCTCCTGGGATGAGCCCCCTGCAAAGACTCTGAAATTGGTGTATTCTGCTCTTGCATTTCCCTTTTAATTTAGGATCCCAAATAGTGGATTCGTGTCCTGAAGCCCTTCATAAAGATTTAAAATGGCTGTGGGACAGGGCTCTGGAAGCTCCCTGTGGGAGAAGGCAGTTTCTGGAGTGAGGGTGGGACAACAGTGAGCAAGCGAGCTTCAGCAGAACCAGCTTGTCGGTGCTCTCCAAGTCGGGGAGAGGGAAGGGGCTGCATTTTTACAACAAAAGCAAAACAGAACAAGTTCCCTGACTGAACCAGCGAATGGAATCCTGTTTCCACGCAACAACTTGCTCCCGATTCCGACATTGCCAGGGCTCTGGGTGGAGCTTCCCTGGGAGGGAACCCACCCAGGGGGTGGGGCCGACATGCAGATCCAATGTCCTGGGGTGGCCACTGGGAGCCCCGAGGGGCTTTTCCCACTGGTGTCTGTTTCCTTTCTCTTTACAAAACATGAACCTACGCTCTTCCGCTCTTAGCGCAGTACTGAGGCAGGCTGGACGTGGTCGGTTACAACAGCTTGAACTCAGAAAAACGCGACTTCAAACTGTGTGTAGCTTATGCTGATCTGTAAGTATAATCCCTTGCGTGGGGCGGGGGTAGCCCCTCCCCAGTCTTTCTCACTCCTGTCTGCCAAGAAATGCAAACCGTTTGTGTCTCGCTTGGGTACTGCCTCCAGGAGGAGAAATAACATGTGAAGCAGTTGATAACAAGAATTCTAAGGCGGCGATTGTCTCTGCCATTTTTTAACATTAAAGATTTTCACAAATTGCCGGGGGTAACGTTTTGCAAAAGATCTAGTGATTACTTTGTAGTATTGTTCACACACAAAAATAAATATTTACACAAATTCAAACGTCCAGGAGTAGTACAGAGATGGAGTGGGGCTGGACAGGTGCGTGGCTGGGCTGTGGGAGAGGCCGTGGGCACTGGAGTTTGTGCTGTGCTAAGGGTGCGTCTCAGGTGTCCTGGCCCTGACCGGAGGCCTGGGAACTGGTCAGATGGAAGGAAGGCAGAAGGTGTGGCTAGGTGGGGTGTTGGAGGCCACTTGAGAGAGAAAAGACCACCCCCAACCTCTAGGGGTGGAAGCAAGCATGGAGTGAGGGCACCCCTACCTTTCTACGGCCCACAGCTCAGTCATGGATCCGAGGCAGGGTGGGGACATCCATGCAGGAGCCCCCCCAAGGGGTGGTCTGCCACTTTGCCAGGAGGCAGTGGCCTTGGCTGCAACAGGTAGTTGGCTGCAGAAGAGCTGGTTTGGGAAGGGGAGCCTGCCCTGGGATCAAGTGGCTCTCTCTGGCCGTCTTCGGGTCCATGGCCCTGGCTCCCCAGGGGCCTCTTTGCTCGGAGGGAGGAAAGGCAACAGAGGGGTTCTGCCATCTGGGCAGGGACAGGCAGGAGGAGTGCGCCTGTGCATGGGGACAGCGGGGCTGCGGTCATGGCTACAGAACATGGTTCGTGGAGCGGCCCCGGGGGCCTTCTGAGGTCCGGGTGAGTCCCTGGTTTTAGCAGCACTGGTAGGTATTGCACTGAGCAAGAGGAAGTGCCTATCAGGGAGGAAGGAAACCAGGCCAGCCTTTCGTTTTGCCCTTTTTCACACTCCAGGGATTATGGGTTTGTTCCAGGACTGGCACCTCCAGAAGAAGGGCTGGTCCTAGGTACACCAAAGTGGCTTCTCCACTTCTGTTGATGATCCCTTTATTCCACCCACAGGGCCAGGAGCACAAAGGCAGCTGCCTTCCCTGGCCTGGGCTGCCTGACAGCGGGCTCTCACCCTGAAGAAACAGGCCCTTCTCGGCAGGGGTCCAAGGGCCCCAGACATGGGAGCAGGGTGAGGGCAAGGGCCTTGCTGTCTGGCTCATCCCCCACCACTGTCCGCTAGAGCAGCTGAGAGGGCAGGGCCAGGGGCTGCAAGTAGCTGGTTATGAGGGCAAGGGGCGCCCTGGACGTAGCTCCTGGACCCCCAGTCTGGACTTACCTCCCAGGCAGGCAGACACTGTGCAGGGGAGTGGGGAGACAGCCATTCGGAACAGGCTCAGGGCACATCCTGGAAAAAGCCCACGCTGGAGTGTGAGGTAGAATACGGGTGAACGTGGGACTGGGGCTTCTGGAGCATGGGGTGGGGGTGCTTTGTTTTTGCTTTGCAATGGGTGTGAGAGGCCCTCCCACGTGGCAGTGCCTGTGGAGGTGCCCGCAGCGCCCCTGCAGCGGTGCTGGGATCGGCAGCAGGACAGCCTGGCTGGGTGGCCACCCCTCAAGGGTGCGCTGTGCACTCTGAGGGCTGCCCACCAGCCACCTACCCTGCCCTGGCGGCCCAGCCCACGTCAGTGTAGTGCTATGGAATGTTAGGTCACAGGGACACACCCTTCTGATCAGACAGACACAGACTGGCAATCTGTACAAACACAAAGAATCCATTTTCAGAAAAATAAATTACTAAGGGTAGAGGAAGAGAGGGTCCACTTTGCTTTTCTCAATAAATATGCAATTCTGCTCACCTAAGACTTGAAAGGTAATTATCTGGGGCAGGATTCTAACATCAGGGTCCACGAAAGTTTAGACAGAGCTGCAGCCCAGTGCCGGGTCGGGCGCCCCAGCCCTTCCAAAGCTGCCTGTGGCCTCTTCCAAGCAGGTCAGAGCACCCGTGTGGTGAGATTCCAAAAAAAAGTGTCCTTGTGCCCAAAGTCTCAGGTGCTTGGAGTGTGGCTAGAAACAGCTTTTTGGGATCCCACCTCTCTCAAGAACAAATGTACCAACTGGTGAGGCAGGACGCTGGGCCCGCCCGGGCGGCCTCCTCCCCGAGGGCCGTGCACTCCAGTTGCGGGGGTCAGTTCTGCTGTAAAATGAGGTTCTCCAGTTCGTCCGCGGAGCGCAGGAGGAAGGCGGCCGACTCTCGGTAGCCGGCGATGAGCTGCCGCACAGCACTGATCTCCGTGGGGCTGAGCTGGGCGGCGGGCATGGTCCTGCTGGTGCTGTTGCTGGAGGGCGTGGGGGTGGGCGTGGTGGAGGTGCTGGAGGCCCCGCCTTTCATGCTGAGGTCCGTGGGCCCTGTGGAGTGAGGGAGAGTGAGGTGGGCACCTCGTCATAGCACCACGTCCTGGTGCCTGCTAGGGGCCAGACCCTTGTCTGAGGCCCTCATTTCACTGGTAGCTGTAGCCCTAGTGCCTAGAAAGGGCCCTGGAGGTTCTCATTTAATCCTCAGGGGGATCTTGCAAGGAGCAGGACCTTATCATCTCTAGGCTGGGAGGCTGCAGTTCGCCTAAGATCACACAGTGAATATGTGCACGGCAGCTCTGCATTTGGAGCAGGTGGCCTGTGACAAGGGACAAGCTCTCTGGCACTAAGCACACCCTCTGCTTCTTTTTGAGACCCATCAGATAGATGACACTGCCTGACAGACTTGCCGCCCAGCTCCCAATACGAAGTGAGGTGGCGGCAGCCTGGGCAAAGGAACGCCCCTCCCCACCTGGCCTAGCCTCAGCCCTGACTTCTCAACGTGAAGCAGAGCTGCCGGGGATCAAAGAGCAATGGCGCAGGCTGTCAGCACGTCTGAGTGGGCCACCCAGGCCTGTGTGCTGTTGCTCCCCATGCAGGGAGGCTGTGAAGGGAGAGGGGACCCAAGACCGCAGAGAGGGCCATGCGTGTGGAAAACCCTGGAGTTCTCCAGAGCAAAGCCACCAAAGACCAGGAATAGAAAACACCTGTGTGTGCGCAGACGCAGAAGGGCTCTGTCCAGCTGCAGAGCAGCAAGAGAGAGGCTGGCTTCCCTGGCTGGCTGTGGAAAAGGGGCGCCCCAGGAGGGAAGGACTGTGGGTGCATCTGATGAAAGGCTGGGCATGTCAAACTTCTTTCTGACGAGCCTCAGCATCTTGAATCCCCCTTCCTGTAAGCGTTCTTTGTGCCCTTCAACAACTTAGTGGAAAGTAGCAGCCCCAGTGAGGGGACCCTTGACAGTGGCAATAGAGAGAACTTGAAGGTTTCTGAAGCATACTGGAGGAGGGGAGGATGGTGGGGGGAGGGGGTCACCAGGCCCTGTCTCCTCAGCCTTTCAGGGTGGGGCCGCTGGCTGTGGAATCAGGTGAGCTTGGGTTTAAGTCCTGCCTCTGCCTCCACACAGGCAGTTCTTGAACTGCCGCAAAACAAGGAGGCTGGTGTGAGGACCAGTGGAGAGGGTACCTGAGCAACTCCACACGGGGTGGGGTGCCCACGGAGAGGCTTCTCAGCTGTGGGGAGGCCTGGCTGCCCACACCAACCCCCTAGGAAAGGGCTTCCAAGTGGGTTTCAGGGTATTCTGACTGGACTCCTGAAGTTTGAAAAGCATTCTTGCAAGGTGTTCAGGAAGAAACCAGCTAGAGGGAGGATCGTGGGGGTTTGGGTGCTGGGGCTTCTTTGGGGAAGCCTTCCCTGCTCGACCGGAGCAACTTCCCTGGGCTGTGTCCTCCCCCTCAAGACCCTCCCCACGGCCTCACCCAGTTGTCTTACATGAGTGCATGAGGTTATTCTTGGCTAACAGCCATCCCCCTACCCTGTGGGTTCTGATGGCCAGTTTGGCTCATTACTGTATCTACAGTGGGAGCTTTGGTGCTGTTCTAAAGAGATGGACAAGCTCCTGTCTCTGAAGGCATCTAGACTGAAGGTAACAGCCTGGGAGAAATGATGAAAACTCGACTGCTGGTCCAGCTCCTGACTGGGGAAGGAAGTTGAAGTTTGAGATAGGACAGTTCATCATACAGGGTTATTTCCTCTCTGACCAAAGACTCTGGATGTCAAGGAGGAGGCCCTAGGAACTGGTTCCCTAAGGAATGCCCTTGATATTGAGAGCAAGGAAGTAAAGTCTGTAAAATTAAATGCAGGAGGAAGGACCGGGGCTGTGGACTCCAATGTTAGGAAACCGTGGGACCAGGGCTGCCCCTGCTGGCTCAGGGGTGGTAAGGAAAGGGTCTGGTTCCTTCTGGGGTAGCTTCGTGTGACTCGGGCCTGTGGCTCCTTGCTCCCGTCCTTCCAGCCCCAAGCCTTGTCCTGTTCATCCCTTGTACTGGGAGTGTCTCCTTCCTTCTGAGACATAGCTAAAGCCCAGGAAGGAAACTGTCCCTGTTTCCTAGCACTAATCTGGAGACATCTCCGTGGCAGGCTCTGGTGACAGCCAGATGCGCAGGTTCCAGTGACTTGGAGCCACCTCTGCTGGTGGGGCAGGGGAGGCCCGAGTGGCCCATCACCTCAGGCAAGACTGGCAGAGCCCGATTCCATCTAGACAGATCGCATCTCTAACTGACACCGTAATGGGTAAAGCGAGGTGCTCTTAGCCAGCAAGACAGCTGCCTAAGCGAGGTACCCACTGAGGAGACTCACTCAGGTGGCAGTACAGGAGGCAGTGGGGCCAGGCGGCTGAGGGCTGCTTTTCCTCCAATCCCTGGACTCAAATCCAGACTTAAAAAATGTTCTCTGAGTGAGGTACCAGTGCTCTCACAGGACACAAGCCACCCCAGGGTCTCACCACCCACCTCTAAGGAACCAGGGTGCTCACAGATGAGAAACTGAGGCCCTGGGAGTGCGGGGGCACAGCCTCTCAGTCGACCTCTCTCTGTGCAGATGTGAACAGGCCTGGTCCCCACCCCTGCGAGAGGCCAGGGGGCCCAGGCAGCTGGAGCCCTGAGTCAGGCTAGGCCATGGGCGCCAGGTAGAGACAGTACCTGCTGCCTGGGAGGGCCTGGGCCCCAGATTCCCCATGTGTAAGGGGAGATCCAGATCTCCTTGGCCTTTCTACAGACACAGTCTCATGGGGACCCTGTTGGGCAGCACTGACTCAGGCGACAGCCTTCTTCCTGGAAGGAAAGCAGCTTCCTGGGAGAGCTGTACCCCTCGCTGCGGGCGGGCCCCTCTGGCCTCAGCTTCAGGGATTAGGGCCAGGCAGCCTCTTCTTTTAGGTTAAGAGGCATTAGGGAGGGATGAGAAGTTAAGCCCAGGCAGGACTCTCCAGGGACCTGGCCCTACTTCCTGGTTCTGGGGGCAGGGGCCAGCCCCCTTCCTCCCTACCCGGAATAGGAACAGTTAAGGGCTCCTGCAAACAAGGGCAAGGGCTTGAGAGGAACTCAGGTGTGTTCATCAAGACCTAGTCCCAGCGTTCCCAGCCCAGGGCAGCACCTCCCTCCAACCTCAAGCAGCACCTTGGTGTCGTCCTCAGTTCTTCCCTTCACACCCTCACTGACCCCAAATCCATGGCTTCTACCCTGCCCTCTATATGCAGATCTCACCACAGTGTACAGAGTGGCATTTACAGAGCACAAATCACAACCCCTCTGATTAACACCCGTTGGGCTCCCACTGCGCACAGAACAAAATCAAGTGCCTGGCCCAAGAGGCCGTGTGCCCTGCGCTCCCAGCCCCCAGCCTTGCTCCAGAGCCACCCGCCCGCACACAACCCCGTCAGCTCCCGCCCAGGCCAGGGGGCATGGCCCCAAGTGCCCCCTGTAGCTTCTGCTCAGCGCAGCACCCAAAACAACAAGGATGTTTCTGTCTCTTCGGTGACTATTTCTCCAATAATGGTCCCATCTGCATCAGTTACCTGGGAAGCACCTCTTGCTACTGGAGTTGAGGGCAGGGAACTGGCTTTGACCATCGCCCCAGGGGGCTGAGAGGAGGGCACCAGGGTGCAGGGCCAGGGCAGAGGCCCAACCTCCAAGGAAAGAACCAGTTCATCTCACAAATGAGGGCCTGGACTGAGGCCTGGAAAGGGGTGTTACCTGCCCAGAGCTGCTCTCCAGGCAGCTGGGCCACAGCTGGACCAGGCCAGGTCTGGGCCAAGTCTGGGCTCTGCCACCAACTCAGCGTGAGCCAGGGCTGGTGGCCCTCTCACTGCACCTCAGTCATTGCAGGGAAATGGCGGTCCCAGCCCCTCCTCTGCAGGACTGTGGAGAGGACCAGTGCAGGTGAACTCACTATCCACCGTGGCCCCGGCTGTGGCACAAAGGCCCTCAGGCAGCGGGACCCACGAGGCAGCCAGCAGCGCAAAGAGTGAGGTGCTGGAGTGAGGGTCATTGTCGGTGGTTTGTTTTGACCTTGCTTTCCACATTAGAGGACAGCTACAATTCCAGAACAGGGGAGAGGTCCCTTTCTTCCCTGGCCTCTGATCCCCACCATTGATAAAGTGGGGCTCTCCCGCCTGCCCTGCATGCTGCCCTGGGGCTGCTAGCTGGAGCTGAGTGCAGCCAGGGCGCCCACTCACCATTACTGTGATTTCCTGTTTGGAGGGAAGCAGGGGGCTGCAGGTTGCTGCCCAAGGCCCCATAACCGCGGTAACTGTAGTTGAGACCGCCGTTGACGTACACAGGGTCCTGGGAGTAGGAGGAGGCTGGCAGTGAGTAGGTGGAGTGGGTGATGGCTGCAGAGTCCCGGGAGTGCTGCTTGTCCAGGGCTATGGGCTCGTCCTGTGGAGGGGACAGGGTGGTGCTGGACACGGGGCAGATGAAGCCTGCAGCCCCAGGGTTCCTGTGACTCAACGCCGTGGGTGCATGACCTGTGGGATTCTCTCTGCTCCCTCTGCCTGGCTGCCTTGCCCCAGGGCCTCCCCCGACCTCCGTGGGCAGATTTGATCTGTCACTGCCTAGCTGCAAACTTTTCCGGGCCCTCGGGTCTTGGGAGGAAGGCTGGAGCCCATTTCTCCATCTGCAGGGCTCATGGTGACCAAACTCCTCCCGTCTCCTGTCTCCCCCTTCCCCTGGTGTTGCCCTCCCATCTGGGGGTCACATGGGGGACCCCAGCCCACCCCATCCTATCAGCTCCTGCCTATCCACACCCATCTGAGTGATGCCCCTCCCTGCCCGTTCTGCACCGGGGGGCCAAGCACATAAGAGGCAGTGCTGGCCGAGCGCGGTACCTGTGAGGACTGGTAGATCTCCAGACGCATCCTTTTGGCTGCTTTCCTCGTCTCGCTCTCACAGGCAGCTGCCAGGATGTTCTCTGCCATGGCCGAGGTCAGATGGGGAGGAGTGGGTCTGGTCTGGGGGCAGAGAGGAAAGAGCCAGTGCTGGGGCTCTTGCTGGCCCTAGGCTCACTCAGAGGCCCCACCCCAAAGGCGGGTGAGGTGGGCAGCCCGGGGCCTGGGCTCAGGCTTGGCGCCCATCTGCGTAGCTGTGCCATCTTTCTGAGCCTCAGTTCCCACCTCTGCGTGACAGGAATCATCAAACCTGCTTCCAGGCTCTTGTCAGGACTGTGGGGAAAATGTCTGGCTATGGGACACCCAGGAACCCCCAGGGTGCAGCCGGGGAGGGCAGGCTCACCATCTCCATGCCGTTCTTCTTCATGCGCCGGCAGGACTTGAGGTACGTGCGAATACGCTTGCGGGCACGTTCCTGGAACTCGGGGAACTGCCGGCTGCACGACTCGATGATGGCCTGGATCTTCTCCTTGGGCTGCTTGGAGATGGGCACCATGCGGTCCAGGTTCTCATCCACGAAGAGACGCACGAACATCTGTGGGGGCGTGCATGTGAGGGCTGGCCTAGCTGCGCCTGCCCGCCCGGCCGCCCCCACCCCTCGCCACGCTCACGTTGAAAGCCTTGAGGCGCTCCGGGTCCATGCCCTCCGAGTCATTCATCTTGTCGTTGTCCTCGTGGTCATCGTGGTCATCGTCGTCCTCATCTGCGGTGGGTACCCGGCCCACTGTCAGGTCCTCAGGGCAGCCGCTGACCTCCGTCTTGATAGAATCGTAGCTCCCGGAGCTGTAGGGGGGGGACTGAAGAGAGGGAGGGGGCCCCCAGGGGTCAGGCCAGGTGCCGCCAGGACCCTGTCGTGGTCTCCTGCAGGTGGTGGGCTTGGGGACTAGGTGACTGCGAGGCCCCGAGCAAGTCACCCCTCACTTTCTTCACCTGTAGGGCAGAATGTCAGCCCTCCTAGCGGCAGGCACCAGCCCTGCAGAAGCCTGGGCACCCTGGAGGGGGTCAGCGTTTTACTCAGTGGTGGCGCCCACCCTGGGACCTGCCACTTTGTGCAAGGGGAAGGCAGACATGAAAAGGATTCCCACCACCAGCCAGCCTCTCTGCCCTGTGCCAAGATCTGTTTGGCTTCAGGGCTTTCCTCCCTGATCCCCAAGGGGCTACAACCCTGAGCTGACAACTGAGCTGTCACCGAAGCACCAAGTGTGCTGTCTATCGGGGAGGAGGAACAGATGGGCCGGGAGAGGGGACAGCCAAGAAGGCAGGTCCATTATGCAAAGTGTGTTCTAGCAGCTTTCAGGCTGGGGCTCCCGTCTGCCCCCCGGCTCTGCCCGGTGAGCCCCAGTGCAATGGGTGTGCAGAAAGGGGAGAGGGAACCAGGCAGTTCCCTGTCCTACAGAGAGAAGGACCAGCCCTCTACTCGCACCTCATCAGCTCCCTCCTGGACAAGCACCTGCTCAAGCCCCTCTACCCCATCTCTCTGGAATGCATTCCCTACTGTCTGCTCTGCTTTCTCACCCTCACAGCTCTGTTCCCACACCACCTGTCCCCTGCCCTTGCCCTCTGGCTCACACCCCTCTGGGATGACTCTCTGAGGACCACGGTCATTTGCCTTCTAGGAAGTTTGCACCTCTGGCATGTCCTGACTTCACCCATTCGGACGCTGATTGGCAGTGTCCTGGGGACACTGTCCCTCCCTCCAGGAGGTCAGCATCTAGCAGTTAAGTCGGGCCCTGGGATGTGGCAGTGCCCGAGGGGCCCGGAGATTCTCCAGATCAGCAAATCAATGACACCTGACCACTTGCTGGGTGCCCCAGTCCTCACAGCGGCTGCTGCCCCCCTCCCCCAGGCTCCCCCTGCATCTTGCCCTCTGGCCTCTCTCCCCATGACTACGCCCCCACGTGGGGGTCAGCCTTCTAGCTGTGCCTGGTCATGCCAGAGTTCCATGGTAAAGTGCTGGCTGTGTGGTCCTGGGCATGTCATAGTCCCCAGCTGGTCCTTAGCCAGATCCTCCCCCAGGTCAGAGGAGATGGAGGCTGAGAGAAGTGGAAGATGCGAGCTATCAGTGGCACGCGTTCTCCCGTCTCACTCATTGTCTCGGACCCTTGGGTTTGCATGTGAGGCAAGTGGCCGAGGTGGCAATGGCTAGAGGGACTCTCCAGGCAAGCTCCCCTCCAGTTCTTTGCTCACTGAGGACAAGCAGCTATGCCCGCCCCTTGGCTGGGTCAAAGGTGAGGGCCAGTGCTGCTCCCAGCCTGGCTTCCATGGCCCTGAGTGCAGACACAGCGACGAGTGAACCCCTGTCTTGTGAGGCCAGGTGAGCACTGGCACCCAACCCACCCCCTCTGCAGGAGAGAAGACAGGCCTGGGGAGGGCAAGGGCCTGAGCAGGGTGCAGGGCAAGTATATATGCGTCTCCTGGCAGGAGATGACGCCCCAGGGAGCTCATGAGCCTCCAGCTACCACTGCCCAAAGGAGGATGCCTCAGAGGCAGAGGCAGGCTTGCAGAGGGTCCCAGGAAGCAGGTGGGGGCTCCGTCTGCCCTGCTCACCCTCCTCCTCATCCATCAGCCTTGTCTAGTGGGGAGTCCCATCTACCCAGATCCGTGGCCCCTCACACAAAGGCCTTGCTCTTTTTCTGCACCATCTGTAAAATGGAAATAAAAAGTACTGGCCTGACCCTCCTCTCCTCTGGCCTCTGCCTGCAGGTAGCCGGGAAAAGTGACGCCTGTGCTGCTTTGCGCAGAATGCGGCCACTTGCGGTTATTCGCAGCAGACTGTTCCCGGGATCGGGGAGGGGGTAGGCCATGAGCCCAGCCACCCTCCACTTCTACTAAGGCTGGGACCACCAACCTCATTTCATAGATGGGGAACCAGCTCAGAGAAGTGGGGGCCTGGCTGAAGGTGAGGAAAACGAGGCCACAGCAGCCAGGGCCACCACCCAGCCTTGGTGTCACACACCATAGGCTGGCTCCTACTAAACTCTGGGCATGTACGCTTTCATTTCAGCCTCACAACAGCCCTGCAGTTCCTAGCAGAAACGGAGGCCCAGCCCTGTGGGTGCAGTACCTGCCCGCCCACCTGCCCGCAGCTGCACACACCTCGGGGGTGGTCTTCACCCCATACTTGACTCGACTCCGCAGTCCGTCCGCACTGCAGCCGTCCGAGGGGTAGGAGGGTGTGCCGAGCGCAGTGCCTGGCGGGAGCTTGTCACACAGATTGATGGGCTGGTCCTCGGCGGTGGCAGTGAAGTCCATGGGGGCCACAGCACCGTTGCCATTCATCTCGGGGAAGGCGGGGTCACCCTGGGTGCTGCTCGATGTGGACGGGTTCAGGGTGGAGGAGCCATTGCCGCTGCCGCTCTCGGAGGAGGTGTCGTCTGGAACGAGACCTGGGTGTGAGGCCCCACCGGCACCCACCAGCTGCTGGTGCCCAGGGCACCTCAGTCTCGGCAGCCACCACGATATACCTGCTGTGTTGTCCACCTGAGCGTCGCTGGGCAGGAGGTGAGCACCACTGCCCCACATTAGAGGCTCTGAGAGGCTGAGGCCCGGCCTGGCCCCCAGTCTCGTTGAGGGATGCTGGCTTCTCTGCCAGAACAGCAGGCGGGGAGTGTGTGAGCATGAGGGTCTCCCTTCTGCACTCCAAACCCGCAAAGGTCGCATCCAGCCTCAAAGGAGGCCCAGCCTGGAGGGCTGGGAGACAGTCACCGAAGCCTCAGGTCTGACCAGCCTGTGCCTGCCAGAGATCCCTGAGCACCGGGACGCTGCGCCCTCTTCCCCAGCTGCTGGGATTGCACTTACCCACCCACTGGGGCCCAACGGGCCCCCTCTTCCTTCTGCCCGGCACTGCCTTGCACCTTTGCACTCTTCCCCCTGCTGAGCCCTCGAATTTCTGCTTCTGCCTGGAGGAAGTGATGGCTCAACTGTGACCCTCCCATAGCCACCCCTCAGGCGGCCTGCGCACAAACACTGCGCCCTCTAGACCCGCCTGCTGTGCGTGGCCACGTGGACTTGGACATCCCACGCCAGGGCTGCAGGGTCTGGGGTCTACATCCTCTGCACCTCAATGGTCCATCCCTGCTTTCTTGAGATGGGCAGCCTTAACAAGGCTCTGCAGAGCTCGCCCCCTGCTGGCAGAATCCAGCATTGCCTGGGGACCTGAGGGAACAAACTTTAACAGGGAGCTAGACATTTTCAGATAAATTCCAGGCCCTCTCCCCGTCTGCACGCCTGCGTGATCAGCTGAGGCAGCGGCGGAGAAAGCTACACCCACGCTCTGGGGTGGCTGTCAGGTGAGTACCCAGTGGTTTTGAGGGCGCCCAGGTGCCAGGGATGCTCTCCACCTGCACACACTGTTGGTGCGGGAGAGTGGCCACAGTGAGTTCTGACCGCATCCCAGGCTGCCCCTTTCCCCAGGCCAGGGTCGCGCAGGACCCCACCCCCATCCACCCAGCCAGAAGATTATGAAGATTTAGTCGCCGGTGCTGGGCACTGGGCACGCGCGCCGCCTGAGCGTCCCCATGGCGACTGAGCGGCTCTAGCACTCCAACCAATCCCTGGCCTCCCTGCTGCCGGGGGGGCGGGGCCGGGCTGCCCATCAAGCTGCCGGAGCCCTGGGCAGAGGGGGATGGGAAAGGCTGCGGCGTAGGGCACCCCTCCCCCTCAGCTGCCGCAAGTCCCCTGGCCCAGGTTGCCCTCCTTCTCCTCTCTCTCCTCTTCCTCCGGGCAGCCTGCCTCCACTGCATCCTCCGGCAGGGCACCTCCAGGCTCTGCTCAACACCCCCGTCCCCGACTCCCCCTCAGCCCAAAACCCCGAGTCCCCGGGCCAGGTGGCCCTGCTATCACCCTGACCTCACCGCACGGCCCCTCCTCCTGGCTCACAGATGGATCTGGCTTTCTTCTAGCAGTATCTGCAGCACACGATCTAGACGTTTGTTGAACGAACAAACTACCCAGCAGCATCTACTGAGCACCTACTGTGTGCTGGTCCTACCCCAGGCTGGGAAACATAGTGAATACAATGGAGGTGCCGGCCCTGGTGGGGGGGTGGGGGGGTGGGGCACACGCCCACTACCGAACCACAACGGGGACTCACAAAGTGAATTATAGAAATGGGAGCGCCACCTGCCTCACAACTTCTCAAACCACACCCCTAGCCATCTGCCTGCCATGTTTCTTCCACCTCCGTCCCTTTCAGTCAGCCTTCAAGGCCTGGCTGATGCTGCCTCCTCAGGGTGGGCCTCCTTCCTCCGCTCTCCCGAGGATGGAGGTTCTCACAGCTTGGGGCTCATCCCTTCTGGGACACTTCATGCCTCCTTCACCTGGCCTATGGTCGGTCCAGACAGCTGCCCACTCCCCACCACAGCAGGGCTTGTCACCACAGAAGCCCCACAGCGAAGGTTCCGGGGTCTCTGCTGGGGCTAGGCTGAGGAGATGGAGGGCAAGGAGGGACACCCACACTGGCTGATGGTCTGGAGCACCTATGAGTTCTCGGGGTTGCCCATTTCAGTCCACCATGCTGGCGCAGTGACCAAGGCGCACACCCAGGTCTGCCCGCCTCAAAAGCTTGCAGTGGAGGACGGGTTGGGGAGGCGGCTGAGCAGGTCTGACTTTACACACATCACCACCCACAGGCCACTTGTTTGACCATGGAGGGCCTCATATTCCTCCTCTGCAAGAGGGGTGGCTAGGAGGGTTGATGGGCACCACGCCTGCCTGGCACATGGTGGGTGCTCACTACAGGTGACTGTCACTGCACTCACCACAGGCATCAGGCCCAAGGCCTCCTGCTGCACCACACCCTGCCCAGGACCCAGAGATAGCTCCCAGACCACCTACCTCCCTGATCAGCCTTTTTCCTGGGAGGGACCCTTGCCTGTGCCTCCCCAAGGGGAGCAAAGCAGGCAGGAGGGGCAGGTGCTGCTGAGGATGCACAGGGCGCCACACACAGGTCAGAAGCTGGGCGTGGTGGTCCAGGCTTCCCAGCTGCCAACACTCTCCCGGCAAGGCTGTGTATCCCAGGTTGCCTGGCCCAGGAACAGCAGGCGCTGGGCCAAGTGTGGCACCCCCTCTCCATGCTTGGCTGCCACCCTAGACTGGTAAGGGATGGGGCTGGTAAGGGATAGGGCTGAGCAGATAGGCCCCAGGAGCAGATGGGCCCCATGAGGCACCAGGCTCTGAACTCCGGCCTTTTGTTTTGTTTTTCAGAAAAAAAATAGGGAATCGGCACTGCTAGGTAACACCCAGATTTTAAAATATCGGTGACTGATCCACACTGTAAAAAATGAGCCTACCTACGGGCCACCCCTTCACAAGCTCCACCTGCTGATGCCCCAGTGACCCACTGGCCAGGCCTCTCCCACCCCCATGCCACACCTAGGGGGGCAGGGAAGGCTAGTCACGTCCTGAGGCCTACATCCAAGGGATGAGGAGTCACAAAAGCCCATGTTCCCCCATCACGCCAAGATCCTGCCTCTCCTGAGGCCGTGCTGGGGCAGCCCCCAGCCTGGTGTGTGCACCGCCTCCCCACCCAGCCTTCCCCAGCTAGACCCGCTCATGGAGATACCGGAAACTGGAGAGGGCAGAACACAGAGGGGCTTTCCAACAGGAGACACTGGCCTCCTTGAGCCTCAGTTTCCTTTTTAAATGGGTGACAGTATCTGGCAGAGAAAGTATGTGCTCAAAAAAAAAAAGCGGTTCCCTACACCCCATGCGTTCTCACTTCACAAGGCTTCCTACACACATGCCCTCCCTGGACTGAAGTATGAGCTTCTGGGGGCCCTCCGAGCCCAGCATGGTGCCAGATCTGAGGACAGAGGGACAGAGGGAGAAGGACCCAGGGCCTTGTCTCTTCCTTTCCTGAACACCTACCGCGTGTCAGGCCCCTGTGCTGGGGGCCAGAAATACAGTGGTGACAAGCCAGGCATGGCCCCTGCCCTTGGGGATTCTGGAGAAGCTTGGGCTCCTGCTCATGCTGGGGGCTTGCGCACACCACCCCTCAGGGGCACCCCCTCCCACAGCCTCCCAGCTCTGCACCATGCCTCTGCAGAGCTCCCAGGGAAGGTGGGATTAGGGTTGGCATGTGGGGCCTGAGGTGGGGGAAGGAGACTTAAAGAGCAGAGCTGGGAGCGTCCTGGGGCGAGGCCCAAAGCTGCCCGACCCCAGCTGGGGTGGAAGGGCTGCTCAGGGGTGGGTGGATCATATCTGTGGTTGCGATCCTGGCTGCGGCCCCACGGACTGAGGTTAAACCCACACTGGAAGCCGAACTCCCTCCCCTAGGGCCCACCAGGCCCTCCTAGCATGCTGCCCCCACACCCCACACCTGTGTGCACTAAGCCTTTGCATTCCCCCTTTCCCAGCAATCTCTGTGGCTCAACCCTCACTTCCTGGGCCTTGCTGAAATGTCACCTTCTCAGTAAGGCCTGCCCTGAGCAGCCCCCTGCCCCGCTCTGACACTCTGCCCCCTTTATCTGTTTTTCCAGAGCATTTATCACCTTCTCACAGTACCATTAGGTTTAATGTGCTTAGGTCTATGCCCACCCGCCACATGAGTTGTCCCAGTCCTGGGGACCCAGGGTTGGCTGGGCTGTGCTGGGCAGGCTGGCCATTCCTACCTCCCCAGAAACCACACCCCTTCCTCTGGTGAGGGTACCCTGATTCTTTCAGGGTTAGAGAGGTGAGCATGTGCCCCAGGCTAGCCAATCAGCCGTCCCTCACAGGACTGGTGGGTGGGCATCTGATCCAAGCTGGGCCAGTGAAAGCTATCTGGGGCTTTGCTGCAACGACTGGGGACGAAGCCCTCTTTGGCCTGGGGCTGCTGAGCCCCCTTAGGAGGGAGGTCCACACCCAGGAGAGCAGGGCTGTGAAGCTGGCCTGGACAAAGCCCTGGTGGTCTTGTTGGAGACCCTAGATCAGTTCACGCTTGAGAGCAAAGAAGGCCCCAGATGGTTGGGTTATGGGATCCAATCACTTCCTCACTGCTGGGGCTAGTGGGAAGCAGGTCTGCATCACATGGATCTGGCTCAATCTCTGAGTAATCCCCAAGCTGGAAGCAGGGCTCTCTGCTCAGGGTGGCCCCCCCACTCCCAGTCCTGGCACCCACGGGAGGGGCTGGCACAGGGATTGGGCCCAAGAGCACGCCTTCATTGTTTGGGGAAAGGAGAGAAACGCCAGACAGGGGCAAGCTGGGTTCCGATCTGTTCCGAATGCTTTCCTCCCTCACCACCCTCCAAAACTGTGATTTGATTGGGACACAGATACACACTCAAACCCATGCCCTAATGGAGCACGGCAGAGCGGGCGGGCTGGGGCCTGGCTGTCTGCATGACCTTGGGCACGGCCACCTCCTTGGGTGCTCTTATCTACAATCCAGGGAGTT